TCCTCACACAGATCCACTGATTCACACCTAAACACTTTTTTCATTAATATTCATCAAACACTGCCCTCCATTTAGATGCCCACCATCCTACCAACAGATCATATATCCTCACGTTCATCCCATTGTTCTTCTCTGGTCCTTTATTTAGCCACCCTTATTTCTCCTCCTTGTTACTCTTACTTGCTCCTTTCATACATTGAAAACGCCACAGAAAGTAGAGTTTTTGCAACAGAAACAGATCTGTTTCTTTTAGAAACTTTAATTAAAACTACAACAAACTGCTCAAACTGGCTGAATTGAATCCAAAGACGAATGGCGGTGGGGGGGGGGGAATTCTCATATTGAATTTGCTTAATAACTGTGGCACAAGAACTAGCAGAGTTTGACAATTTGGTCTGATGAGATGCAACCCCCAATACAAATAAAAGTACACCTCTGGATTACAATTCTTATTTTTCACAAGAGGTTCTTGAACCAAGTGAGAGATGACCCAACCTGCAGAAGATGAGGAAGGATACTTTTGGAAGGACACTTTTGGATCCAAGCTACTATATGTTCAGAAAATGAGGTTTCTTCAGAAATTATCACAGTACAAGCTGTATCAAGCAATTCACTCTGTACGCAATATGAAGTGGTAGACATGGGGAAAATCTGTCACATGTTTTTTTCTTTACACACTTAAAGTGGCCTTAAAGCGACTACAATTTTAAGAAATTCATTTATTTTGATGTTAGAATTATCCAGTGTCCGATTTTTCTCTGAAAACTCTCTAAGTCAAATTCAATAGCCTAAGCAGCAAGATTCTCTTAGAAACTAAAGAACAATTTGCTTATTTCTAAGCAAGAATCAATTACTTTAAAGAAAGCTTGAGCTGTCCACACAGTTCCACTAAGTGTAAGTTACTTCAGGTTCACAATTATGACTCCCATATTCTTTTTTAACAAAATTAGCAATGCCCAAATCTAAGTAGTAAACACATTTTTGATTCAATACTCTCCAAACAGCTTCCCTTAAAAGCATATAACCTTGAGATGACTGTTAAAAAAAAAAAGATTCCAAGACGTGAAACCATGAGACACTAGCACAGAAATATTTTTCATTTCTACTCAGAAGCAAGCCCATTATGTCAACAGCGCTTCATGCTCAGGTATGTGTAAAACTGCTGGCTAACACTGAACCTGCGATCTTTCAGAATTATTTCAACATTTCTTGCCATTACATTTCAGCCTCTTTAGCAACAACATCAGTACTAGAAAAAAAATTAAATGAAAACTTCTAAAAATGCAATACTGACAGAAAAACTTCTGAAAGAAAAACTTCATGAAATATTACTTCTCTCCTCTTTCTCCACTTACCTCTTTGAGTTCAACTTTAGGCATGTTATCCAGTCGAATTTTTGTCCAATATTTGTCCAGAAGAGCTGCATGACTATTTTGCTGTTTGTACCAACCACCACCACAACTGAAGACTCTAAATTAATACAGTTAAAAATTAATGTCTACATTATAACACTAGAAACATACATTTTAAACTACAGTGGTACCTCTACTTATGAAATTAATTCGTTCTGACAGCCATTTCGTAAGTAGAAAATTTCATAAGTAGAAGTAAATTAACACTGAAATGCCTTAATCCATTCCAGCCCCCCAGATTCAAGCTACAACTCAATACAAATGTATAATAC